TATGTATGGTATGTTTTGTATGTATGGTATGTATGGTATGTATGGTATGTATGGTATGTATGGTATGTATGGTATGTATGGTATGTATGGTATGTATGGTATGTATGGTATGTATGGTATGTATGGTATGTATGGTATGTATGGTATGTATGGTATGTATGGTATGTATGGTGTGTATGGTATGTATGGTATGTATGGTATGTATGGTATGGTATGTATGGTATGTATGGTATGGGATGTATGGTATGGGATGTATGGTATGGGATGTATGGTATGGTATGTATGGTATGCATGGTGTGTATGGTATGTATGTGTATGTATGTATGTATGTATGTGTATGTTGGGTAGTGTCACATGGTCTTGTCTGGTATGTCTGGTTTATGTCATGTATGTAATGGTATGTAATGGTCTGTAATGGTATGTTAAGGTATGTAATGGTTATGTCATGGTTGTAATGGTATGTCATGGTATGACCGTCATGGTCGTAATTGGCGGGGGGGTTTGGTTGGGGCGGGCTCTTTTTTTTTTTTTTTTTTTGGGGGCGTTTTGTTGGGGCTTCTGGTCCTTTGGTGTTGGTTTTTTTTTGGGGGGGGGCCTTTCTTTTTTTTTTCTTTTTTTTTTTTTTTTGGGGGCTATGTAATGGTATGTAATGGTATGTAATGGTATGTAATGGTATGTAATGGTATGTACTGGTATGTAATGGTATGTAATGGTATGTAATGGTATGTAATGGTATGTAATGGTATGTAATGGTATGTAATGGTATGTAATGGTATTTAATGGTATGTAATGGTATGTAATGGTATGTAATGGTATGTAATGGTATGTAATGGTATGTAATGGTATGTAATGGTATGTAATGGTATGTAATGGTATGTAATGGTATGTAATGGTATGTAATGGTATGTAATGGTATGTATGGTATGTAATGGTATGTAATGGTATGTAATGGTATGTATGGTATGTAATGGTATGTAATGGTATGTATGGTATGTAATGGTATGTAATGGTATGTATGGTATGTAATGGTATGTAATGGTATGTATGGTATGTAATGGTATGTAATGGTATGTAATGTATGTAATGGTATGTAATGGTATGTAATGTATGTAATGGTATGTAATGGTATGTAATGTATGTAATGGTATGTAATGGTATGTAATGTATGTAATGGTACGTAATGGTATGTAATGTATGTAATGGTATGAATGGTATGTAATGTATGTAATGGTATGTATGGTATGTAATGTATGTAATGGTATGTATGGTATGTAATGTATGTAATGGTATGTAATGGTATGTAATGTATGTAATGGTATGTAATGGTATGTAATGTATGTAATGGTAATGTATGTTAGTATGTAAGTAATGGTAGTAATGGCATGTAATGGTATGTAATGGTATGTAATGGTATGTAATGGCATGTAATGGTATGTAATGGTATGTAATGGTATGTAATGGGATGTAATGGCATGTAATGGCATGTAATGGTATGTAATGGTATGTAATGGTTTGTAATGGTATGTAATGGTATGTAATGGTATGTAATGGTATGTAATGGTATGTAATGGTATGTAATGGTATGTAATGGTATGTAATGGTATGTAATGGTTATGTAATGGTATGTAATGGTATGTAATGGTATGTAATGGTATGTAATGGTATGTAATGGTATGTAATGGTATGTAATGGTATGTAATGGTATGTAATGGTAGGTAATGGTAGGTAATGGTAGGTAATGGTAGGTAATG